AGTGATTTTACAGCATCTTACTACGCTGATGGACAGTGACTAATGGGTTATGTGGGGGGGACTTGGTGAAGGGGGGAGTCTAGTAAACATAATGTTCCTCATGTAATTGTAGATTAATGATACCAAAATTAAAAATATATATATAATGCAAAAAAAATTAAAGCATCATTCACCAAACCAAATGGGATTTATTCTAGGGATGCAAGGATGGTTCACTACCAGCAAATTCATAGATGCAAACACCATGTTAACCAAAGGAAGGATAAAAACTATACGATCAACTCAATAGATACTGAAAAAGGATCTGACAAATTCACATCCACTCATGATGAAACATCTCACCAAAGTTGGTATAGAGGGAACATATATCAACATTAAAAAAAGGCCTTATATGACAAACCCACAGCTAATATACTCCCTGGTGAAAAGCTGACAGTTTTTTCTCTCAGATCAAGAACAATTCAAGGATGTCCACCTGCCTGTACCGACCCCTGGGCTGGCTCTCCACGCCCATGCCCACCCTGTATGCACGCTCGCCCCACAGTGCTCACCTCAGGCCTCGAAGCCCTCACTCTTCTTTTTGGGGGAGAGTTGTGTATTTTATTCGGTCCTTGTCCCCGCCACGACAAAGAATTGAAGGGCAGAGACACAGCAGTGTAGCAGAGTAAAAGTTTCATTTAAAGTTACTTAAAGAGAGAATAAGTGCAGCAGGCAACCTCAGCAAGGACAGGCGCCTTGAAAGGTCAGAGAGCAATTTCAAGATTAAATGGTTACACACTTAGAAAGTGCGGGCGACCTCAGAGAGAGGAGCGCCCTGAAAGGCTGGGGTTCCCCCTTTTAAGGATTCTTTAGGAATGTGACTAAGGGCTGGGGGGCGCAGACTTGTTAAGTGGTCTTTGAATACTTAGAATTAACTTAACACAAGGATGTTCCTTCTCTGATTTCTCCCTGGAATACCAGCATCTTGGTCTGGGAGCATATTGATGCTGGGGTTCTTGTTCATGAAGCCGAAGAATGAGCTTCACAAACAGTCAAGGTAGGAGAGCAAGGTACAGGCTTTTATTTAGAGATAAAGTGAAAGGACAGAGCCCTGGGCTCACGCCAGAAGGGGAGAAGAGAGTCCGTGGTGGTGCGTTGTCTAGGGGTTTTATAGGCAGTTGAGGATTTTTCAAGAACATGAAAAAAACTTAGGGGTGTGGACTTGTTAACTGGGCCCTGAATATTTAGAATTAACACAAGCAACTTCCTCTGATGATATCTCTCTGAGATACTGAGACAGGGACGGTGGATGTAGTCAGAGTAGGGTGAGGGCCTCCGGAGGGGGCAGGGTGGGATATTTGCAGTCAGAGCAATGTAACTACAGGAAAGGAAACCCCCCTCCTAAAACTCTATGTTAAACATTAAACTCTAGAATCATTCTTCAGTGACATCGCTTAATGTTCCCCAGATAAAGAAGAGTAGCACATGTTTTATTATGCTAATCATTTGTAACCATGTGTAAGATTCACTTTAGCATACTAAAAGGCCCAGGCCTATGTGCTCTCTTTCCTCCTTCATATCTGGCAAGGTGATTTTGCAAACTGAGCAACTAACTTAGCATGCAGACCCAGCTGTGGGCGACATGGTAAAAGGCAGGAAGAATTCCATCTTACAGATAAGATTGCATTTTAACACCCAGGAAGTTCAAGAGGCAAGATTCTTTAGCAAATAGAGAATACCTCAGCCCACCCGGGGGGCTGGGCAGGCAACCTTTTGATGTGCTCCCAGACCAAGGCGCCGGTGTCCCAGAGAGAAATCAAGGCAGGAAATTCCTTATGTTAAGTTTATTTTTAATATTCAGGGCCCACTTAACAAGTCCACACCCCTAAACTCATTTTCACGTTCCCAGATATCCTCAACTGCCTATAAAGCCCCCTAGACAACGCACCACTATGGACTCTCTCGTCCCCTCCTGGCGTGAGCTGGGAGCTCTGTCCTTTCACTTTATCTCTAAATAAAAGCCTGTACCTTGCTCTCCTCCTACCTTGACTGTTTGTGAAGCTCATTCTTCGGCTTCGTGAACAAGAACCTCGGCATCAATACCAGCATCTTGGTCTGGGAGCGTGTGAAACAAGGCCACCTGCTCAGCTCCCAAGGTGGGCTGAGGTATTGTTTGCTAAAGAGTAAGTTAAGAATCTCTAACAGCTTAACTTCTTGGGTATTAAAATGCAATCTTATCTTTAAAGTGGAATCCTTCTTGCCTTTTACTGTGTTGTTTATGCCTGGGCTTACTTGCTAAATTAGTTGCCCAGTTTGCAAAATCACTTCATCAGATCTGAAGGAGGAAAGACAGCACATAGGCCTAGGCCTTTTAGTATGCTAAATAAAGTGAATCTTACACATGATTATAAATGGTCAACGTAATAAAACATTGCTACTCTTCTTTATCTGGGGAACATTAACTGATGTCACTGAAGAATGATTCTAGAGCTTAATGTTTAACATAGAGTTTTAGTAGGGGGGTTTCCTTGCATGTAGTTACATTGCTCTGATGGCAAATATCCCGCCCTGCCCCCTCCGGAGGCCCTCACCCTACTCTGACTACATCCACTGTCCCTGTCTCAATATCAGACTGCCTGCCCAGCCCCCAATGTGGGCTGAGTTATTGTCTGTTTGCTAAAGATTTTTAACTTCCTGGGTATTAACATACAGTCTTTAAGATGGAATCCTTCTTGCCTTTTACTGTGTTTATGCCTGGGCCTGCATGATTAACACAGTAAAGACATGTGCTATGCTGAGGTACCCTCCTTTATCTGGGGAATATTCAAACATTCCAGGCTAAGTTGCTCCTGGCTTTTTGAGCTTTAATTGAGTAACTTCGGGTCTTTTTAGTGGACTTTCTGGCCTTTTTTCTCTTTCCACCCCACTCATATCTATTTTCTTGCCTAGCACTTCTGATCCCTCTGGTCGACCTAGGGTACCACGAGGCTGGTCCCGTAAATGCTGGAGCCTCTCACTTTTCAGGGATGCTCTCCTCTGCACCGGCACCTTCCTCCCGCGCCTCCCCCCCCCACCGCCCCACCAAGGTCTAGCCCCTCTCCCCGCTGACGTTCTTTCCAGCAGGCCTGTCTGTCTTCTCCCCCAACGCGATGACCCGCTCCTCCAGTTCTCTCCCTCCATTTCCTGTGCATGGAAGGCCTCCAACCTCCTGGGGGATCTCTAGTCCACCCACCCCACAGCCTGCCTTGCCTTTCACCAGGCCCTTCCTTACCCACCTTACCCAGGGCTGTAAACTCTCCCCCTGGAAAACACTTCTGCTCCTTGCTCCCTCCTGTCCGCTCTCCTCAAAATACCAGCAAACAGACACACTCCCTGCCCCCTGTGCACCGGTAGCTTTTCTATCCTCACCTGTCCGTAGGGTAGTCGACCCCAAGCACCGCACCCTCTTCCCACGACATTCAATGATAATTCATTGAGAAAAGAGAAGCTACCAGACAGGAACTCTCGTCACTTCCCAACACTGGATCTGCCCTTGTATTCTCTGCTGTCCTCTGGAGCAGGTGCCCAGATCCCACTGATGCCGGGGTTCTTGTTCACAAAGCCGAAGAATGAGCTTCACAAACACTCAAGGTAGGAGAGCCAGGTACAGGCTTTTATTTAGAGATAAAGTGAAAGGACAGAGCTCCCGGCTCACGCCAGGAGGGGACAAGAGAGTCCGTGGTTGGCTTATTGCCTAGGGGTTTTATGTGCGGTTGAGGATTTTCTGGAATGAGGGTAAAGGGTTAGGAGTGCAAACTTGTAAGACTGCCTGCCCTACCCCCAAGGTGGGCTGGGTTGTTGCCTGTTTGCTTGGGTTGTTTATAGTTGAGATCACTTACCAAAGTAGTCTTTTGCCTAGGTTGCAGACTACGATTAGAGAAGGGAAAATAGCACATAGTTACAATTAAAATAAACTGGGCCTTTTAGCAGGATAAGGTAAATTTTACATTGTCGTGGTGTGATTGACACAACAAAGTGATGGTTTATGCTGAGATACGTTTCTTTATCTGCAGAACTCTCAAACATTCCAGGCCAAGTTGCTCCTGGCCTTTTGAGCTTTAAGCGATTTCACTGAAGAATGTCTATATTCCTAGTCATGTATACCAATCTTTACCCTAGAGAATTAGTGTGACTCTGACTTTGCATAATGTGTAACACAGAGTTTTGATAGGGACTTATTTGCATATTGTTACATTGTTCTGACTGTAATTATCTTGCTCTGCTTTTTCTCTGGAGGCCCTCACCCTACTCTGCCTAATCCCATGGTCCCTGTCTCACCACTTGAGGAGAGACCTGTCTTCTCCTCACCACTTCTCTCACCACTTGAGGAGAGACCCACTTCTGAAGGAGTGGGGCTTTGCAATGACCATTCCTGCGTCCTGAATTGTCATGTACCCATTTTGCTGGATCATTGTATTGTCTACAAGCATGCTCCTATTACTCACCCCTTATACAATCCCTTACCCCGTATGCCACCAAGGAACTGCCACATTTTCCTGAGGCTCCAACCAGCAAGTTGTCACCTCTTGTTCTATAACCATTCTCCTTGCCAACCACTCATCAAGCTTCTACCAGCCTGCCCCGATAAAGAAACTGATTTTGTTGTGAACACCAATGACCTTTATGTTGCCAGTTCCTAAGATCATGTCCTCATCCTCAAGTGTATCTCTCAGATGCCTTTGGAACATTTGACAATTGCCTCCTTTTTGACACTGTTCCTGTTTCCCTCCCTTTCTTTATTTTATTCTCTAATTTGGATATTTGACAGTATACTCTCTCTGTGTTGTTCCTCCAAACTGCAATGGCCACTCCACTCCTCAGTGTCCCCTGCTTACTCCTCCCTTCCCACAGGAAGTTAAACAGGGCTCCTTCTCATGCTGCGCTCCCTCCGTGCCTCGCTTCCTCTATGTTGCCACCACACAGCATGTACATAATGTGACCTCCCACATTTATATCTCGTGCATCAACCTGTCCCCTGAGATCCAGATGTGCCTGTCTCTAAGCTGAAGGACCGGAAGGCATGATAAAGTTAACATGTCCCAAGTATGCCTCTTCATGTGCTGCGTTGAGCTTGTTTCCACTCAAGTCTTCTTGGTTTGATCTTCTGAATTTATCCTGTGTCCATCCCCTTCATTGCTTATCTACTGCTACTATGTTAATATCCAATCTTATCATCTCTTGCCTTCACTGCAACAACTCTGGCCTGCTTCTGCGCCCTGAACATGCCAAGCTCATTCCCTCATGAAGACATGGGCAGGGTGCCTGCCTGTTCCATTACTGTCTTTTCAGAGGGGCTCTCCCTGACCTCTCTGTGCAGTTTGCTCCTGGACTATGAGTTGCATTATTTTCTCCCTAACTTATTTATTCATTGGCAGGGTAGTATTCTCCCACTCCCCAGCTAACTGCTAAATTACCAGCTTCTACAAAAGTACCAAACACCTTGTAAGAGAGGTTCCACTCATATCGATGAATGCTGATAAAGGCCACCTAGGACCTGTCCTTGCTTCCTTGCAGGTTAGCAAGGGGGACAGACGGTGCAGCGGGTGTTAGTGGAGAATCTGCCTTCCAATCTACAGCCAATTTGCAATGCGTGAGTGCCCACAGTCACTCCTGTACGTTTCCGGTGTGTGTATGACAGCCACAAGGAAGACATTGCCCTGCCTTCCTTTCCTCTTAAATCAATAAATTATTTTATTGCTCTTTAAAAGACATATGCATGACCAACGAGAGGGAAGGTGCTAGCCACCACAAGGTCAGCTAGGGTGAGCAGCGGTGCCGAATGACTTCATCTACTCAGCTCTCTGACTGCAAGGGATGAGGCACATGCTTTCATCTCTCTATGCCTTGGTTTCCCCATCAGCACAAAGGGCAGAGAGGGTGTGCATCCAGATGGTTTCTGAGTCTGTCCGTGCCCAGAATGATGCAGGCACCCGGGAGCTCTCAAAATGAGTGTGATAGCATCAGTTCTGGACCTGTGAGCAGATGGAGGACTCCGGAGCCTGAGTGAAGGCTGCAGGAAGCCAGAGGGCTCCCACTTGTCCTGACGGCACCAATGCGATGAACCTACATAGGAAGCAAATGCCTTCTCTAGGACTGAGTCAGGACCCTGCATTCATTCTCCAGTTGGAAGGTCACAGAAGGCATTTTTCCCAGAATGGGAAGTTTCTACGCAAACATTTTCTTTTCAGTGATTTTATAATCAGGACAGTTGTACTTTCAATCTGTTTTCCAATAATGGAGAATGTGTGCAACCCAGTCATGAGAATACTATGTATGTACGTATTATATTGTGTTTTTTTTTTAAACTGAAGGTCCCTTACTGGTCCTGCTTCCTTGAGTGGCCGTGACCAAGGGACAAGTGGAAGAGACCAGGAGGTGTGAGGAGGGATCATCTCCACAACATTCCATTTATACTCAGAACTAAACAGACAAGCAGAGTCACTATTGCAGTTAGAAGTTGGCAGCATCAGAAAGGGGAGGAACAGGTGGGGAACTGGGGTATCGTTAAAAAAGATACAGGCCTTCCCCCAAACTGTGGTCCCTGGGGGGAACTTGGTCTGCTTCAAGCCAGGAGGAATTAGAAGATCAAAAGCGATTTGCAAGGCCAGAACCTTCAGGGATGGAGGGAGGAGGAAGGTCCAGGAGGTGGGGGGCTGTTTGGCAACTGGGGTGAAGGGACTATTGTCCCCCTCCTGAGATTCCCCCAGCCCTCTGGTCTGGCAGGAAGGGGGCAGCCTGCAATCCCTGGGGGCTGGTCTGGGGCTGCCAGATGCTCCAGGCAGGGGGCTGGAGGAAGCCCACAAAGGCTTGCCCCCCAGGAAGATGACCACACTGCCCCCCAGCTTCTCTGACAGGGTGCAGCGTTCCTTGACCTCCTCGTAGCGGTTTGCTTGTAATTCATGCTTGATCCCCGTCAGCTTCTTCTTGATGGCGTCCCTGGAGCTGGCATAGATCATTTTGCTCTTAAGGGGTGCACACTGAGGGGCCCAGAAGATAAACGTCAGTTCCTCCTTCTTGCTCTCCTTGGTCTCATAGGTCGCATCACAGAGGGCGTAGCAGAAGTCCTTGTCTGGCAGCATGTTGACAAAGGTGGCAATAGGGGTCAGTCGTCTACAGTCTGGCCCACATCACCTATGAGGATCTCCTTGCCCTCCTCCAGGACGATGTTCTTCTTGTCCTCACTCAGGCACAAGAGCACTGCCTCCTTGCGCTTCCTCACCTCTTCTGGTGTTGATGACTTGCCCGTCTTCATGTCATTGAACACCTTGATGGCACCATCAGTGACAGCCACACTAGATGCCATGTTCCTGGAAGCAAAAAGGAGATAGCAAGGAGAGCCAGGAAAGACGGGAGCTGCTGCAGCTGCTGCCAGGATCCAACTGAACCGAACTATTTATTTTGAAACATTAAACTTTTGAGCCTATCTCAAGTGCTGCTCTTTTAATTTAGTATGTGGCAAATATGAGAGTGTGAATAAAGTTTTCCTGGCCCCCAAGACATGAGTGTGCATCCAAGCGTGCCCTGTAACTCCTGGAACACATCACAAACTTCCAGACAGTTCATCTCTGTTGCCCAGCTGTCCTTGGTGGCAGACCATGGTGGGGACACGTTGCTTAGGACTGAGGCTCTCCGGGCACACACATGAAAATTGCTGACAGGGCCTCTCCTAGGGCCCTTTTAAGTGTGTCTTTGAACTCAGAGTTTACTTTCATAGATCTTGTCCTGCTGAGAATGGTGCAAGGGTTCATGCTTGTTTATCCCTTCTATTTTATGTTTCATCATCAGTCAGCCAATCTCTTTTTCGCAAAAGGAAAATGCAAGTCCTAAAGCTTTCCCTTTGTGATGTGCATGTGCTGCGGGGAGCCTTGTCAGCATGGACGTCAGGCAAAAGAACGCTCTGTCCCATCCCTGCGGAAGCAGAGGACACACAGGGGCGGTGGTGGATGGAGGTAGGCTCTCAAGCCTCAGTGTCCCCTCTATGCGGGTGGGGGCAAGGGCAGAAAGCAAGACACATCACAGAAGCAGAGGAGAGGATTTTGCCTCCACTCGTCCTTGGGACTCAGAGGAGTCCACTTTGCAGGATGACCCAGCAGCTTCCCTGGGCAGCAGGATGCTGGGAGCTTAGGAATTAGCTTTCTGGAGGTGATCTTGGTTCGAGCTGTGGTACAGGGGACACCCAGGGGGCTGCACTGCCCGAGGGAGGAATGTGGAAAGTGACCGAGTCCAGCGCCAGGGCTTCATGAGGGAAGCCTGAGCAGGCAAGGGGCTAGGTGACCTTGCAGCTCAGGCTGGGGAGTGGACAGCCCTGCCCAGGGTAGGGATGGAGGATGACACAGATTCAGAGGGGTCTGAGAGTGAGCTGAGGCTGAATCAGCCAGGGAGCACCAGGTCACGACCAAGAGGAGGGAGACAAGAATGCAAGTGTGAGTAGCCCCACACACGGGTGGTCAAGTCACCAGGTTGCCCTAGGAGTCATCCTCTCATCAGAGACCACCTAGGATACTGTGAGCAATGGAAGAACTTCACAGACCCTCCCCCCATCACCAAGGAAGCCTTGTAAATCACACTCACCCCGTCCCTGACCCAGCCTTGGATAGGAGTAGGGAGGAAATCCGGGAGACTGAGCATTTTCTGCAAAAGAGACTGAGCGTTTATTCAGATGAACTATTCCCATGAGAGCATTAGATTGAGACAGGGACCATGAGACAACACACCACCCTGGGCTCTCTTGTCCCCTCCTGGCATGAGCTAGGAGCTCTATTCTCTCACTTTATTTCTAAATAAAAGCCTATCCCTGGCTCTCCCACCTTGGGTGTTTGCTAAGTTCATTCTTCACCTCCGCAAACAAGAACCCCGGCATCAAGATTACACTCTCCAGATTAGACATGAAAATTCAGTGGTTTCTTTCACCCCTATTATTCAGTCCAGAGAGCGGGCAACTCATGATGAAGATCAGCTTGGTCAGAGAGAATCGGTGGGCCAAGTGCTCATGCAGTCAGGAGCACGAGGGAATGTGGGATCTCAGCCACTATCTCCACGGGCTCCTCCTCTGACCACCGCCAGTCTAGATCTGCCCCCGTTAGAGGAGATCCAGGCAGCGTTGCCTTGTCCTCTCCTTTATCCAGGACGAGGTTTCAGAGGCCATAAACGGAGTCCCAAAATGGAGCACAGAAGGAAGAGTGGACCAGACAGACAGCAACACAGAGCAGAGTGAGTGGTGGGAGTTGTCCCTGTGGGGAGCGGGCCCACAAGGCCTTCTCGCCTTCCACAAGGATGCCGGGGTCCTTTCTCCTTCAGCAACGCAGATCCCACTTCCCAGGGCCTGCACCATGGAGCGCGGCTTCAGAAAATGGCTGGAGCACCGTGTACTGCTGGAGGAAATAACCAGAGCCACATGTCACAGCCACTGTGCTTTCACACGCTTCTCGGTTTTCTGGGGCCTCAGTGCTGTGCGGAATGCCTTCTCTGTGACTCTGCTCCCTTCCTAGTTCCCTCGGGGCATCCCAAGATTTCTCCTCTCTCCTGGCGTCCTCTACCATACATCCATCCCTTCAGTCTTGCCAAAGCTCTTCCTATTCAGAAGAGATCCAAGCAGGCAGGGAGGGGGAGGAGTGGGGAGAAGGGCCTCAGTGCTGGGAGGGGTACTCGGGCTGCCGTTGTCTTGGCAACGGTCTTCTGCTCCTCCTCCCTGGGACGCTCAGCTCAGGCCTCAGCCCCGCTCAAGGGCCAGGACAGATGGGAAAGCACGCCTCTCCATCTCCCTTTCTGTGAGCAGAGGTTGAGATAGAAAATCAAAGTTGGGTTACCAGGGAAACTGGATACCCAGTTTGGTATCCAGCTGACTCGAAAAACAAAGAAACGTAGGAGTGGAAACTAAGACACACAGAGGATGTACTGTGGGAGGCCACCCACGGACATGGAATTTGACTTTCAATAAACATGCTGTCGTAAGGGTCCCAGGCATGGGCACATGTGTGCACACAAGTTTTCTCACAATCACTCCCTCGAACCCAGAGGCGCACAGTGACTGGGACATAAGGTACAGGAGGGGGGAGGCAGGGGATGAGGCAGTGAGGTGTGAATGTAGGCAGAAGGCAGATCATGAAAGCCTTGAGCAGGAAAACTTAACATTTAAAGAAATACTACCTTCCCATTCTTTCAAGGCTTATTTTGACGTTTGCATTTCATTTGGATTTGTGCAACTAATTTAGAACACGCTCTGTGCCTTCCGACCATTTCCTCGGAGATTTTATGTCTTTTTTGTTTGTTTGTTTTTGGTTGGAAAGTATAATTTGCCATTGTAAGCATATTTCACTGGAGAATTCAGTGGCGTTAGTACATTCACACTGCTGTGCAACCATCACCAGTATCCATCTCCAGAATTTTTCAGCATCCCCAAATGTGCCTTTGTCCCCATCAATTAATAACTCTGTGGTACCCATTCTGCTCAGTCCGTGGTTAGCACTGTTCTTTGGGGGAAAGACCACGACAAGAGGATTCAAAGAAGCACAAACGCAAGCTGCTAAGGAACGGAGGCAGGGCCTGCAGGAGAGAAGCCAACGTAGTAAGCAAAAGGGTTTTGATCCCACGCGGTGAATTTTCAATAGGGACGCCGCGGAAGGAAGCGCAAGGCGAGCTAGGAGGCGGCAGGCCCGCGCAGGCCTAGCAGAGAAATAAATGCCCGTTCTCACTGAACACAGGCTCTGCGGAGTTTTTTTTAGGCACGAAGGGCGGGTGAGAGACAGGCGGGGACGTCGCAACACTGCCCCCAGCAGGCCGGAGAAACAGAGCGCCAGCAGGCCGGCAGGAAAAGCCGTCTTTCTCGCTGGCTTTCCGCGCACAGCCGTGAAGTGGTGGCTGAGGAGGAAAAGCGCGTGACGACGACCACCAGGGAAAAGAAAGACGCAGACCGGGCCGAGTGGCCCGGGTGCGGCCGTCCGCCGGCGCGACGGGCTTCCGCAGTCCCGTCCCCCGGAACCAGAGCCACGGGCGGCCGGAAGGACGGGGCTGCGCTCGGCTGGGCGGGTTTCGGGCCTGCGGGCGGAGGGAGCCCAGCGAGGTCGGTGCCCGTCTCCCCGCGGGCGTCCGCCGCGGGCTTCCTCCCGGACCCCGTTAGCGAAGTGTC